AATCCCCTGAATTTGTTTTCTCCAAACTGCGTTGACTGCTTCTCTATATTCTTCTTGCTGTAGAAGTACTGCTAGGAGTCTAAAAGGTCTTCTGAGTTTTGGTATGTTCACTTCTGTATTTAACATTATAGGAGAATGATCTGATACTCCTAGGAGCATATAAACAGCTTTAATTCCTGCCCAAATCTGGAACCAATCTTGATTGCCAAATGCCCAGTCAATGTGACTATAGATTCTGTCCTCTGCATCCCTCTTATTTCTCCAAGAGAATTGACATCCTCTTTTGGTTATTTGCCCTACTCCAATATCATCAATACATCATTGGAAATCTACCAGCTCCTGTTGATGTACTGGTTCTCCATTAATTCTGTCCCCAACAGATATTATGCTATTGAAATCTCCAAGTATGATCCATGGCCCATTGGTCTTGGTATGTATGTCCCTAAGTTGATCACACATAGGCTTCCTATCAGCGACAATGCGCAATCTATATATAAAGTCCCATAACAATAGAAGTATAGTTCTGTCTTGAATATGACAGTGGATGAGTTGACTAGATTTTTGAATTACTGAAACTGTCACATTCATTCTCTTCATCCAATCCAAGTTCTCCCTTTAGGTGCTTCTGAGTAATTATCTACAAATGTCCACCCTGTGCCAAACTTCTTCTGAATCACTTCAGCTTTCGACTGTCTTACTTTGGTTTCAAAGATACCCACAATATCTATCTTATTAGTAAGCAAAAACATTTTAAACTCTTTTTGCTTGTGCAGCTTATTCAGCCCTCTTATATTCCAAGAGCTAAAAATTATGGTGGTGGTGGTTTGCTTGGTTTGGTTCCTTTGTCTACCAATTGGTCCTCCATTCTATCTTGGTAGTTACTTCTCTCTCAACGATCCTTAAAGGAGCAAACTGGTTTCTTCTAGATATCTCCTGATCATCAATATGCTTTCTATCTTTCTTCTTAGAGCCATGGTGGCCTACAACCTGCTTTCCTTTGCTGAATAGTTGCACCTGTATTGGTGGTGCCACTTCTGAGTTTGTATCTGGGAGTACTTCAAGCTTGTTTGTTTCAGGATTTGTTGCAGTTGGTGGTGCCACTTCTGAGTTTGCATCAGACTTGTTAGTTTCAGGAGTTGTTACAGCTGGTGGTGCCACTTCTTCTGCCTTCATCTTCCACTCCCATTTCTCCTTCTTCTTCCTCTTATTATGTTTCTTCCCTTTCTGTTCCTGTTGGGATTGTTTTTGTTGACATTCCTCAGTCATATGTCCAAAATGATTACAATCCCGGCAGAATGTAGGCTTCCATTCATATTTCACATTTTGTTCCCAAATTTTCCCTTCTGCGACAATTACAGGAAGAACATGTGGTAGATTTTGAGTGATATCTATCTCTATGAGAACTTTAGCATATGAAATTCTGTCAACATGAGCTGTAAGCTTATCTGTACACAGTGGTTTCCCAATATAGCTCGCCAGTCTTCCTAAGTTTTCCTCAGCCCAGAACTGTATTTGTAGTCCTGGGAACATCACCCATATAGGAACCACTCTCATCGATTCATTTTTCATACTAAAGTCTGGATTCCACTTCTTCAGAACCAAGGGTCTGTTGTTGAACGTATAAGGACCATTTTGTAGTATCAAATTTTTATCATCTATCGAATTTAAAGATGAAGTAATCATCATCATGTAATAGTATCTTTGGCGTATTTACTGAGCTCCATACTCCATATACAAACTTGATCATCTCTTTAAAAGCTGGATTTCCCCCAATTACATATCCGATTAGGGCATTTTTCCATTGTTGACATTGCTGATCCACTTCATCTAGATTCAATTGAACCAGCTTAATTCCATCTTTTATCACCGGTGGATAGAATTTCACCTGCATGCCTTGGTCCTTCATTTGATTTCCTTTGACTATCTCCGCCATAGATCTAGCTGGCTCTGCTGAGTAAGTCAATTTACGCGCTGCTGTTGTAATTCCTAATTCCGGTGGAATAGAGGCTTCTGGTGGAATTTTGGTAGATCTTGTCACCGGTGGTAGCGATTCATTCATTGCTGTCGTTTGGATGATTGTCGACGCACTTCCCATCCCCGGCATCCAATTGATAAGTTGTCGAGGACCTAGTTGTTGCTCAATTCCCAATTCTGGTGTAACCAATTTACTAACGGGCTCCTCAATTTGGTCTGTAGAGTTTTTCATCATCGAAGGTCGTCGTTGATGGCTGTTCATGGTTGTTGGCGTACATTAGCAATCCTGCTTAACGTGCGCCTTCAGAGAGATAAGCCATCTTCAAGACTTCTCCCTCCCAAAATGATTATATTATTATGCAACATTTACTATCACACAATTTTTAATTCTTTTTTTTAACTCTATATCCAATTAAACAAAATTACATAAAATGTAACAAAGGGAATATAAATATACATTAGAACAATTCTTCCATATCAAACAAGGGTATAATTAGGGTATACAACAATGGATAAGCTTCAGAATTGAATGGTGGGACCAACTTAGCTATTCATAGGACAGGAAGAACTAGACCAGTTTCTTTGGTAAGGTCCACCAATTGTACCTTGCACGTGACAAGTTTTAGTGGGGTGAAAAAATAAATAATTTAAAAATGGCAAAGCAAAATAAGAATCAATAAAGGCGGCTGGATCCAATAGGCCATAACGATTTTGTAAAGGTCCTCCAAGTTTTCCTTAAATATACAATTGCCCTCACTACATTTTGCCAGTTTGCCCCTGCAGAATGGAAATTACTGATAGTGAATCAAAGTTCTTATATGTCAAATGAGATCCATGGACTATAGGGAATGCTTATTTTTCATGATGACAGTATAATAAGTTTTTTCACCATCAATATAATACAATCTTTTATAGTAGGTTACTAATTATTTATACATTACAGATGAGAATAATTATTAAAATAAAGTTATATAATATTTTAAATGATCTAATATCTTTTTTATATATAGTTATAACCGATACATAGCACTTAAACTCTTCTAATTAACATTCTGACAAAAGAAAAATATGGTTTTCAATGGTTTAGAATCTTTAGATTATGAAATGGATCTGGTTGCATACTAAATTCTGCATCATAAATATATTTCTTGTATATCAGCTATAACGAGTACACAAAATCATATTTTAATTATATCTCCATCCATATTTGTAAAATATTCTTTTTTGTATTAAATATTCATCAAATTCTTGGCTACCATACTTTTCAAATGATTTTCAAGTAGGGAAGAGCTGGCATACATCTGTACACAAAGATGAAAATTTTCAACCTTAGAGTTTATTAAATTCCTTTTCTTGTTTTATTATTTTTAAAAGATCTTGTTAGAGATTATCCATTACATAGTAACCGTTTGTACTCTCCTTAAGCAATAGAATGGATTTTGGTAATCGAGTTTAGATTATTCTTTTCTAGTGTATATTGCATATTCACAATCTTTTTAAAATGATATATGGAAACTTCTAGCTAAGAATCGGGAGTAGATGAGAGAAAATTAATATGGAGAGATCCTATTATTTGTCGAAGGTAACATTTGTTTTTGTTTTTAAATTAATAACATGCTAGGAGTACTTGATTGCAGATATTAACTCATATTTAAAATGCGATGCCTCAAGCTTCCAACTGTTTGTTTACTTGTATTAATTGTTATAAAAAAAATTATGGAAATAAACTTCGATATTTGATTTAACAAAACGTATCTCATATTTGATGAGGAAGAGATTACATTATCTTGTTGTCATGATTAAAAGTATATTGTTTCGTGCTTTCCTTATAGACGTCATATTTTTTGTTTTATTTGCATGTAGAATATATATAAATATCGTATTTGCACATTTCTCCTTAATTTTTTAAATTTTGTTCCGAATTGAAGTAGTAAAAATCGTAAAAGAAGACAAGATCAACTTTATTTAGAAAAAAAAATAAGATTTAATTCTTGAATATTTGTTAAAAACTAATTGACACATGTATTTTTTTTCTTTTTCTTTTAATTCAGGAATAAATTGTCGGTTCACCAACTGTCGAAAAACACTTTTAGCTGAGTCAAAGTATTTAAGTATGCAACACACACGTATTATTAGAACATACTGAAATATTATTTGTAAACTAATTTTATTTATTTCAACCTTCAACTTGATTTGAGAATTTGAAGGCGACAGACTGAATTGAGGAGTATATTTTAAGTAAAATAATAATTGGCATATCTCCCCGATATCAATCTCCTAACTGTTTTGTATACCCTTGTTATTATTATAAGAATTTTATGGAAATAAATTTAGATATTAATTTAACGAAACGTATCCCATATTTGGTGAGAAAGAGATTACAATATTTTGTTGTCATTGATTAAAGGCATATTGTTCCGTGCATTCCTTATAGACGTCATATTTTTTGTGTTATTTGCATGTAGAACGTATATCGTATTTGCACATTTCTCTTTAAATTATTACATTTTGCTCCGAAATAAAGTAGTAAAAATCATTAAAGAAGACAAGATCAACTTTTATTTAGAAAAAAATAAGATTTAATTCTTGAATATTTGTTAAAAACTAATTAACACCTATACTTCTTTTTCTTTTCTCTTAATTCAGGAATAAATTATCGCTTCACAACTGTGGAAAAAATACATTTAGCTGAGTCAAAGTACTTAACTATGCATTTACACACACGTGTTATTAGCAAATACTGAAATATTATTTATAAATTAATTTTATTTATTTCAACCTTCAACTTAATTTGAGAATTTGAAGGCGACAGGCTGAATTGTGGAGTATATTTTAACTAAAAAAAGTGCCCGAACGGAGTTCCTTACAACTCACGGGCACAAAATGTAACGATTTCAAAAATACAGGGACCAATATGATAAAATTAGAGTAACCCAGACGTCACGTTGACGCGCTAGAACCACGGTTAACTTAACTTATCCATAGTTAAAAAAAACTTGTAACTTATCAGCTTCTTTTCTCTTTTGTTTTCCCACTTTCCTTACTTTTATGGCTTTGCTCCTTCCTCTCTTCTTCTCTTTCCTACAGCAATTTAGCACTTAAAACATCACTGTAAACTCACCTAACATTCTTCTCAAAGCCCCCAAATCTCTTATTTCCTTTACTTTTTTTCTTCTAAATCAGATTAGAACCGTAGATATAGCTTCAACTTGCTGTAAGTCATTTACTTGTATTAATTTTTTTGTGGATTTTTATACGTGTTTTGTGATATTTTGCTGGAGTTTCTGATTTATTGTGTTATTTGAAGTTTTTGAAATTGGTTTGTTGTGAATTCTTGTGAAATATGGTCGTTGAAGGGATTATTTTTGGATTCTGTAGAGATTTGTATGGATATGGAGTCATAGAGGTGATAGATCAGAGTAGTAGAAAATCAAAAGGATGTTTTAACGAAGGAATGTGAGAGTGAAAATATAAAAAAATGAAATTAAAGGGGAAACATTTAATATTAATCACTGGAAAAAAAATAGTGAGATTCTGCTTCATGTGTAATGTAAAAGATAAAATAGAATTCAAGGAGAAATTTTTAATAACAATCAGTAGAAAGGGTGATGTAATTCTGCTTCAGAGAATTGTAATATATATGTTTGTTTCTCTCTCTCTCTCTCTCTCTCTCTCTCTCTCTCTCTCTCTCTCTCTCTCTTTTTTATAAGTGTTGTTTCTCTTTTGCTCCATGGAATAATATTCTAATTTCCCCAGATGTAGTAAAAAGTTTTAATTTTTATGATTTGTTTCTGCAGAAAGATATCAGATTTTGAGGAATTTGGAGTATTTTGCTTGATCGGTTAGATTCTGATAATTGAATTTGGATTCAAGTCAAATCGGAATTGATTCAGGAAAAAGTTCAGTTTGCTTTTTCCTTGTCGAACTGGTGTTGCAAAAATCTTCTAAAAATGATGATTTTTGAAGAAATAGGCTTTCCTGGAAATTTTGAATTCATGTCTGATCCTCTGGGTTGTGGAGGAGATGTGGCGCAAGAAGTTGAACATAAGCCGACAGGGGTGGAGGAGGAGGACTATAGTGATGAGGAGATGGATGTAGATGAACTAGAGAGAAGGATGTGGAGGGACCGAATGCTTTTGAGGCGGCTCAAAGAGAAGAACAAGAATAAAGAGGTAGGCGGTGATGGTGCAAAGCAGCGTCAGTCGCAGGAGCAGGCTCGCAGAAAGAAGATGTCTCGTGCACAAGATGGTATATTGAAATACATGTTGAAAATGATGGAAGTTTGTAATGCTCAGGGTTTTGTCTACGGGATCATCCCTGAGAAAGGGAAGCCCGTGACTGGTGCTTCCGACAATCTTCGTGCGTGGTGGAAGGAAAAGGTCAGATTTGATCGTAATGGCCCTGCTGCCATTTCCAAGTATCAGGCTGATAATCAGATTCCCGGGAGAGTTGAGGATTCAAGTGTGATAGTTTCAACTCCCCACACTTTACAAGAGCTGCAGGATACGACGCTAGGTTCCCTTTTGTCCGCGTTGATGCAGCACTGTGATCCTCCGCAGAGGCGGTTTCCCTTGGAGAAAGGGGTAGCTCCACCCTGGTGGCCTTCAGGTAAAGAGGAGTGGTGGGGTCAGTTGGGTCTGCCAAATGATCAAGTGCCACCTCCGTACAAGAAGCCTCACGATCTTAAGAAGGCGTGGAAAGTTGGTGTTCTAACTGCAGTTATCAAACACATATCCCCTGACATTGCTAAGATTCGCAAGCTTGTTCGACAGTCAAAGTGTTTGCAGGATAAGATGACAGCTAAGGAGAGTGCTACTTGGCTTGCTATTATCAATCAAGAGGAGGCGTTGGCTCGTAAGCTGTATCCTGATAGCTACCCACAAGGCTCTTTAGCTGTCGGTAATGGTTCCTATTTCATCAGCGATACCAGTGATTATGATGTGGAAGGAGTGGATGATGAGAGAAACAATGAAATGGAATGTAAACCCCATGATATCAATCTCCTAACCGGAAGTATGGTACCTAAAGATAGGATCTTGATGCCAGCTTTAGCTCCAGTGAAAGGAGAAATCATTGATTTAACTTCAGATTTTATCCAAAAGAGGAAGCAGCCATCTTTTGAGGAGTCTGTTGATCAAAAGATGTATACCTGTGAGTACCTTCACTGCCCATATAGCAATTATCAAGCTGGATTCCTTGACAGGACTTCAAGAAATAATCATCAAATGGATTGTCCATTCCGTTTCAACTCTGCTCAACGACTTGGCATGCCGCCAAAGTATCAGATCAACAATGAGAATAATACAGTTTTTCCTGCTCAAACCGCTACTCCTAAGCCAGCTACTTCATCAGTCACAGGTTCCTCGTCGATGACTGTCTCTGGGCTTGGACTCCCTGAAGATGGCCAGAGGATGATTTCTGACCTCTTTACATTTTATGATAACAACTTGCAGCAAAATAGTAGCATCTGCTCTGGAAATTCCAAGATTCTAGCAAATCAAAACATGCAGCAGAACCAAACAGTTGAACTTCCGATGGACGACAGCTTCAACCTGGGACATCTGGACGCAGAAGCTCAAGAAACAAGCATGACCATGAATTCAGCTTATACTTCGAATGAGTTTCAATATGATCAATGCAAGCTGCCCTTTGATGCCCCATTCGCCGGAAACTTAAACGATATTACTGATTACAGATTTGGTTCCCCATTCAACATGGGAGGAAGTGACTATTCCATAGATCAGCTGACAAAGCAGGATATATCTACATGGTACCTCTGAAACAAGTCTTGTTGTTTCCCATATGAAGAGCTGATAGGTTGTATATGTTTAGATATAAGTGATCAGGGCTATGTCCTTTATAGACAAGTATTGTAGTCTCTTTTGTGATTTAGTTGATGTTTTGATGGTTGTAAGTGCTGAAGACAGTATTATGCTTATGGAAATTATGCTTTAACTCACTCTTATTTACGTTATTGATTATACAATAGGAACCACTTCATAGATTGATAATCGCGTTTAGATTCAACACCCCTTTGCGTTTTCATCTCCATTACACATTACCCTTCCCAGACCTTACTCGTGGGATTTAACTGGGTCGTTGTTATTGTTGTCGTTGTTGTTGTAGTCTCGAGATCTTGAGTTCGAGCTTTGAATATAGGAATTCTTCGGAAAAGTGCTTCCCCTTCAGTGGGTCCTATATGGCGTGGGTCCTATATGGCGTAAATCCAAATGTTTGATGGCTAATCAAAAAAAAACTTGTGACTAAAGTCATAGCTTGCCTAACCCTATGTTTTTCTAACAAATCACATGCTTCATACTTATAATAATGTGAGCTCAGTTGCAGTGTTTTGTTCGGCATAAGTTAAATCTAAGTGCCATTTTTGTAAAACTCATTGGTGCCTATGAACAAAGTCTTTCTTTGAAAAGAAAGAAAGATGTAAAGTAAGTTAAGGTTTGGAAACTTTCTTTTCAACACTGTTTGGTTTGGCAAAACGCGAACAATTAAATTGAATTCTAATGTTCCAACTACCTAAATTAAATGTCAAGTAAGAAAGGGTTTGTCCCCTTTCAAAACTACACAAAAGTGCTGCAAATAGGTTTTCTCCTTCTTTTTGGTTTCCAACCGGTGTCCAGTACCCGCATAGGAGCTCGACTATATCCGGATTGGCGCCGCATAGGGCTCCATTCGGGGAGAAGCGCTCGTTATCAAGGATTTTTCCATACCCAGAGCTCGAACCCAAGACCTCTGGTTAAGGGAATAGCAGCGACATCCGCTGCACCGCATCCTTTGGCGGTAAATATGTTTTCTTCTTCATTCTCTTTACATTCCAGATTTACCATTATTTACTTCCGGTACTTTCACAGTTTAATGGAACTAATGAAGAAGTATATGTTTTTAACGTTCAAAATTTAATTTGACTTAAATTGAAGAATAATATTGAATATGCTTAAATTGAAGAATAATATTGAATATGCTCTATACTCATTACCCCTCCTAAATCGCCCACTAAATTCATTACGTTGCTCCAATAATTCAGACGGACCAATTACTTAATTAAATTACTTATCTGACTTTGTACAGTATTTGTCTTAGCTTAAAAATACCATAAGCTAAACCATTAATAACAAGATTAAAAGAAGAATTTGATTCTTAGAAAAGATCCACTAGGAGTATTTATAAATGAGAAATAAAGACTTCCAATATGAAGAACAAATAATAAATATTGCCACTTGACAGTATATTCCTAAAGCATGTGCTTTGAGATAAATTATTTTAAGGAACTAAAAATAATTATTGACAAGTATAAACACAAGACATGACACATGTGCTTAGAGATAAGCTATTAAAAGATCTTCTGGAAGTTTTTACTTTTAAAATGATTTTAATTCTTTCTTTTACGGGTAGACCAAGAAAAGCAGTCAAATTACGTGTCTTTGATTGTTTAGTTGAAAATGAAATGGTAACGAGTTATTAGGATTTTCTCTTTTTCCAAGTTTCAAAAGGTGCTATAAAACCTCTTATCTTTAAATTAAATGGATGAAAACATTCTCGTCTAATATATAGATAGGTAGTAATGGACGAGCACATAAATGATATAAACTTATTTGAATCGGGTGTTTATATCAAATTAAAATAAAATATTCACAATTTAAAGTTTTGTTAAGAATTAAAGTGAGAATACATATCATTAAATTATAGTTAATTGATAAATGTATGTATGAAAAACACAAATATTTTATATTTATTGATTCAGTATAAACACCAAATACGAATAAAAATTTTATCCAGATAAAGCTCTTAGCTTTGCCATGACCAAGTCAAAATTAGGTATAAATCATTAGACTTCCTTATTTAATGACAATTAAGTTCTACTTGCTGAATTCGGAGCTTATTGGTACACCACTCGTGCATTATGTCACCTTCAACATGCATTATGTTTGGTTTCTTTAAGGAGAAAGAGGCTATTTAATTTTTGGTATATTTTTTAAGAAAATTATTTAATAGCATTAATTATAAATATTATTTGAGTGAATGTTGCATTATATCTGCTCGAATTACTCTTTCTCTTGCCTCAAACTTCTTATACTCCCTCCGTCCAAATTAATAGTCACTTTAGCTCAAAAAATTATCCCAAAATAGTTGTCCCTTTAGGAATTTAGAACTAAATTTGTTAATTATTTCCTATGCTATTAATATTAAAGAAGTTGTAGTTCTTTCCACTTATATTAAATTCTCAAAAAATATTAATAGGGTAACTTAGTAAAATAAATCTTATACTTATATTATTTTCTTAAGGACATGGATAACTAATACGAATTAAAATGGAAAGGAGGGAATAACATATAATTTAGGGCAAAAAAAAATTTCTATGATGTCTTCTATCTATGTAACACTAACCCAGAAAACGTACAGCGTTGTCCCATATTGTTTAGAGGATCTCTATGTAGCATTTTCATGCGTGACTTGGCTATTGATATCAAGATAAGCTAGCAGCCAAAAAACATTTTTCATATTACTATTTGGTATTATGACTGTGTCACGTGACTCACGTCCCTTGATATTTAGAGAATTTCGATTCAATATTAAATTTTGTAGGCTTTTGTCATTTGACTTTACCTGTACACAAATCTGTCGTTGGTTTTTTTTATGTTAGTGTATAAGTATGCAAATTTTAATATCTAAATACATACACATACCTTTTCTTAAAACAGTTTTCAATTATGTGTTTAGTGAGTTCAATAAATGTTATCTCAAAAGGTTAGGTATAACTATTATTACAGAATCAAAGGGAAAACTAGGAAAATAAATGACGGGTTAAGGAAAAGGTATGAGTAGCTCATACCAGCAAATTCAACAAATGATTCTTTCCTCTTCTACCATCATCTCACTATATATTGGCAATACAAGTAAAGACAAGGAAAACAGAATAAATAACATCCGTATAAAAGGGGAGGGGGGTGGGCGTGGGGGGGGGGGGGGAGTCAAATGCTCATCATTTTAAATCAGAAAATACATTTAAAGAGCTAATCCTCTTCTAACTCTTCTTCAATTTCTTGTTCCTCCTCATCTTCAATTTCTTGCTCTTCCTCAGCTGCATTTTCCTGCCCATCTGTATCCATCTCCTCCTCACTTTCTTGTTCATCCTCTTCTTCATTTCCCAGTTTTTTAGCGCTAGTATTTCCTGAAGGCATCAAGCATGACAGTCAGAGTAAACTGAAGCAATGCCACAAGTATTAATAAAAAAAAAAAACAAGGGAAAATGACATTGTATAGCCGCTCTCAAAATAATAGCCGAATAAATGTATATTTTTTTGTATATATGTATATACATTATGTATGTTATATACAAAAGTTACACAAATTTTATACACTTTTTCGACTACCAAATGTAAATAGTTTCTATCGCCGGGCTAAAAGTGATAATACCCCTATAAACATTCCTAAAATTGGAGCGCACAAGGCCTACTCAGAACTGAGACCAAGCATAGGAACTTGGTAGAAAGAAATTACATATTTCAGCATGCATACCTATCTCCTAACTAGTTTGATGAAGAATTTCCTAAAAAACCCATCATAAGGCCACATTCTTGTGCCTTTGCTTATGAAATCACATAGATACTTATTTTTACTAAATACAAACTAGAAATCAATGAATCATTATTCTTTCTCTACCTTGAACTCCCCGTGCAGACTGCTGGTTAAAAAAATTCTGTAGTTGGCCGAGCTAATGGGCAGCCAATTCACCAAAGATAGTTCCCACTACAGGCGATTCACTAAGATATAAACCAAGTATTTAGGTCGCATGTAAACATGAAGACAACCCGTATAATAGGCAATTAATCTTCTGAGTCTATATGGACAGGATCCCAAATTCTATTCATACCCTTCAAAGCAGTGTCAAATTCCCCTGCTCCAGACTATCCACCCACCTCCAATTCACCCAGTAAAAGAAAGAGGATTGTTTGCTTTAAAAGTAAGAAAGGGAGGTTATAGAGGAAAATACCGAATTCACTGAAAATGACCCGACCAGTACATAGGCCCTCTTCAATCTTGACGAGTTGAAGAGTCATCCTAGGTCCAATCTCTTGAAGTTTGACAGCACTTTTTGTAGAAGCTCGATTAACTCTTCCAATATCAGATGAAAGATTTACAGTTGCAGCCTCATCATCCGGTTCACTTTCAGATCCGTAACCAGCCCTTCATTGACAAAGCAGAGAAAGACAAATGAAAAATAAGAGAAGTATAACACTAACAGAAGACTACATTGCATTTCACATAACTAAGAAGGAAAATGTCAAACTTTTTCACTATCAAAAATTTTTTTCCCACGGTGACTGAAAATGGAATTTGCTAAATTACCAAGACATGCTAAGCAAAACAAAAGCCAGAATAGCCTACACGGAAATATATATCCCCATCTACTTCAGTTACTTCCTCGTCTCTAGTACTGAGGCATCCTTAACCAAAGAAAATTGTTCTGAGATACTTAAAGGGTCATTCCTTTGATAGATATGAACAGGAGGGTAGCAAAACCATCAAATGAGGGATGCAATTGGACAAGGAGAATTTGTTAGTTAGGTAATTGTGCATAAGATTCAATAATTTTTCTCCAACTCTGGATCATGTATTGGAAATCGCATTTAGCCTGTGGTCTTTTCGCAATTACACTTGTGATATATCACCACCTGTGCGTTGCACTAGTTGGAGGATGACCCTGCTGAGCATGGGCCCAAACTTAGAAAATGTGATTTGCTCAATTTTTCTTGGACTCAATGCTGATTGGTTTCTACCTTTGTGACGTGATCATTTATAATTTTAAACTTGGTCCCCGAAATTTAAATGTTGCATTTCTCATTACTATGTTTCTTTATGTCAACCGATATCTCTATGGAACTGCGGATGATGTACATAAGCAGCCTATGTAGAAAACCCAAGTGTTAGCTTGTACGTATTTCCCTGTTCATTTATATTTCTGTAATTTGCTAACAGACATCATTGAGTACGAACGCAAATACTATAAATCAACATGTTCCCTAGTAGACAACTAATGCCTTATCTACAAGCTAGAGATTCAGATTTTAAAGCAAAAATAATATGTCCACATTCCACCACAATCATGTTTGTCAATCAACAATGTCAATTGTGCCTGTGAACAAGGTTCATTTTTTATCTCTTATACGCTTCTCATGTGAACTTTTCTGCTTTCAATCCATATATTTTTTGATATGGTAAATAATTTTATTAAAAATTAGGGGAGACCCCGTGTACACCAAATTATGGTTCCGAATAAAAGAGGGCACCTCATGAGTACACCGAAAGAAACAAGAAACAAAAGATTATTTCTTATTCCATCACTTCAAATGCCCTTCTATTTCTCTCATTCCAAATAACCCATATGATTATAAGGACACAACACTCCATGCCTTTGGACTTCTTTTCTCCCTTCTTCTGTGAACCCAACTATGCAACGCCTCCTTCACTGTGTCCGGCATCACCCATTGCGTTCCAAACAAAGTAAGGAACGCACTCCACAAACCATTAGCCACTTGACCATGCAATAAGAGATGATCTACATCTTCCCCCGAGCTTTTGCACATGAAGCATCAACTAACATAGGTGATCCTCCTTTTTTAGATTTTCCACCGTCAAAATCACTCCCCTTTCCGCCAACTACACAAAGAAGCACATCTTTCTCAGTGCTCTGGGAATCCAAATTGAGTAATGAGGGCAGATTTAAGAGTGAATATTCCATCTCAACTCTCTCGCCACCTCCATACACATGATATATTGATCGACATATCCAACCCATACAATATCTCAACCAAATTTTGGATATCTTCCATCTTCTTCCTGTAGGTTCCTCCTAAATCTCAAATCCCAATGAACTATCGCCTCATGAGACCTACAAGTTTGTTGGACTATCATCTCTCTTTAGCAAGACACACAATATATGTTTTGGGGAAGGCTTCCCTCAACCCACTCTCCTCACACCACTTATGCGCCAAAAAACTAATCTTGCTTCTATCCCCAACCTGGAAAAAGATATATCCACTAAAAACTTCACATCGCTTCATAATACTCCTCCATAATCAACATCCAAATGGTACTGTGATGTTTCGGGTCCTCCATCGCCCTTCCATGCTATCATATCTTTTCGCTACCACCACCCTCCAAAATGCATTCTCCTCCACCCCAAATCACCAAATTGCAATTCATATAAGGTAAACGTCACAAATGGGCAATCACTTATGCATGCCAAACTTGTTAAAAAGAAAGAATATAACAATAAACAGGAAACAATTCTTAGTGTCAATCTAGAAAATATTATGCTAACTTATGGAAATGTCAAAGCTTTGCAAATAGCAAGAGGGTTTGGGAAGGTAGTAGCGATTAGGGCAACCCTGGTAGAAGTAAGAATAGAATTTCCGCGGTAATTCAGCGATCTCAGTTCCACATAACACAATTCCAGAAGGATATCAAACACAGATGGCAATACTAACTCTAAACCAGCTCCTCAACTCATTAGAAATAGAAAGGTCACCTCGAAAAAACTCAATAAATCAAATAGACTAATGAAGGAATGTTATAATTGCATAGAATAGCAATCAAAAGCCATATCAGCAGTAAGAAACATAGACACATACTTGGTCACGAAGTCACTAACATCTTGAAGACTTCTTAGATTAGGCACTTGATGGTTTTGCACAAATTTCCTGATCCTGCGAGAAACACCCACTGGCTGTAATCTGATGGAATAATGCCGAAAGTCAATAAGCTTTGTTTCTTTGTTGTAATTAAGTAATACAATCCTTTGGCACGAAGACAGTTTGACCTGCAAGTGTAACAATTTAGCGTTAAGATCTGGTGAAACAAACTGCGGCAAATATAGAAATTTACATATGGTTCTCACTCAACTGTATTTATGTCAATGGCAGGAAAAATGTTCTGGAAAATAAGTGTAGTGAGCTTTAGATGTTCCTCCCCAGTCCCAAATCCAGATAGAACAATCTGCAAACATAATTCCGGAGCTCAGCTAACCAGGTAAAGAAAAGAGATAATGCTAATACGAGACAACCTAGTTTATACAATGCCAACATCCCACGTCTTGATGGGATTATGCTACTTGATGTATAATATGATTCTAGGTGTAAGCAGGTTGAGTACATTCTCCTAAGTGCATGTACATGTCAGGGGGGTCTGAAATAGTCATCTAACTGTCAGCAGAGGAGATTACCAAGGGTGGGGTTTTGAAAAGATCCGGAGGGCATCTTGGACGGAGTTGAGATTGAGCAATATCAGTAGCCAATGAATATTCATGTACTTTGAACGTTAAAGTTGGACCTTGCATAGTTTTGGCAACCCTCAAGTATGGTGCAGAGTCAGTTTTTGACAATATGAGAAAATGCGTGACCCTCATATCCTGAGCAAGAGTCACAAAATCTTTGAGACTGTTTCGTTTCTTTTCCTGAAATTAAATTGAAGAAACATAAATTTAGTTAAACATATGCAAAATGCAGACAACAGATTCATTCTGTAATATGCAGAACCACATAAGTACAGAAAAATTTATAGCAGAAAACATATTCCTATTTCTTTTTCTTTATTTATGAGGAAAGCATATTCCTGTTTCTAGCTTATTTCAAAAGATAAAACAAGACATTGCTGCAAAAAGCTACACAGCTCATAAGTCAGGGAAACAAAAAGAAGCCAGAAGTGCGCAAGAGGTCTGTACTGCCAATGAACATACCATTTTAATTTCTAATTCCCTTTTTTCATTCAAATAGTAGGAATTCAGCAGCGAGATGAATATAGGCATAATGAGTAGTCCACACATTAAACGGAAAAAGTTTGTACAGGTAATAAAGTACATCCCCCCCTCCCTCCCCAGATTATACAAGCTCCTATTTGACTCTCTCCACATTGTCCAAAGGAATGGATGAGTAATCATCTCTTCGCAAGTTCACGGATCACAGTGCAGGAAAAGCTGTCTAATAAGTTCTCACTCTTCTGACACATCACCTAATGTTTATTCCCTTTACCCTTCTTTAAATTTGTAGCTGTAAGAGTTAAACCATGCGATACTGCACGGACAAAGAAAATGACCTGCTCTTGTGGTTTTGCTGTCCAAATAACTCTAAATTCCTTCCTCTCCCTTTCAAATAGAGTTGTAGAATGACCGAGAACACCCCACTAGATTGCATTTGCATTTCTCTGATGTATATTAAACCAACAGACCTGCATCATCATGATCTTCTACAATTTTTATTAATGATGGTGGTGTCCGGGACAACTTGAGCGCACCTCGACTACCAAGACTTAGGCGGATGGGAAAAATCGTCAAGTGTTTTTTGTCTCCGCTAGGGTTTGAACATGAGACCTCATGGTTCTCCACCCACTTCATTGACCACTAGGCAATCTCCTACAATTTAAACTACTTCTTGACTTCAAGTTCCAATAACTGCTTATGTTTCTGCTGAACACCTAGCTATCATATTCAGTTTTTTCATTCCTTTTTTTGTGCATAAGTAAGATATTTTTTTTCTTTACCAGAACATAAATTCTAGTTCTGTTGTCTTGCTGTCTTCGAGGCTTACATTTGTCTGTTTGCATCTTAGCAACTGGTTTTTCGTTATCTTTGCAAAAGATAGCGAAGGATAAGAGCAGCTGTTGAAGCTTTTCATAGGACCAAATTTTCTCCGTTTCTGGGGTTCTGTACTTCATTAAGGGGTCGTTTGGTAGGGTGTATAAGAATAATGCTGAATAAGGTGTATTAGTAATGCAGGGATTAGTAATGCATGGGTTAGGAATCCAAGCATTAGCTATGCAGAGATCATTTCTTATCCATTGTTTGGTGTAGTGTATTAAAAACTAAAACCCATTGCATAATTTTTAAGAAAATAGTTTGTTTACAAAAATGTCCTCCGTATTATTTAGCTTTAAAGGACTTTAAGGATTATTTTGCCTTTAACCATGCTAATGCATGCATTAATAGCCTTGGTATTGCTAATGCCATGGTTTGACAGGGTTTTACTAATACACAAAGCTAATGCATGCATTATTTTCTCTAATGCACTCTACCAAACGACCTCTAATTGTTATATGCTTTGTATTGTTTCTTTTCAAGGGTAGACTTGGTGTATACATGCAGTTTTGCCCAATGGATAAGTCGCAGTTTACACCAAATTTAGAAGAAACTTTGACAAAAATCAATAGCAGGATGGTTCTGATCATATTGGCAACATTAAATAGTAAAACAATAAGAAGACAACACTAATACTTCCTTGAATCAATTCAAGACTGTCAAAGCAAATACCAGATAATGCACCCTAATGCACGAATACATACATTTGAATTCTAAGTTAAGGCTCTACCTTGAGCTTGAGAGCAGTATAAGGATTCATCAATTTCCTCAAGTCCATTTGCAAGCGTCTGAGAGGCCCAGGAAGCTTCCCCCTTGCAAAGACGAAGCTCCTTGGAATCTTGTCTCCTGTAACATGGTCTACCGTTGGCTGCTTCTTCACAATGTGCTTGACAAACGGCTTCCTCTTCTTCTGATCAAATGGAGCATTCAAGAATTCAGCTCAACCACCACCACAATAATTGTCACATAGGTTACAAAACTTCAGATAAAGAAACCCATATCTTCTATGGAATCATCGATTAGTTAATCATCGTTTCTCGTTTCAGTTCAGGAAAAAAAACCAAAAAAAGAAAATGTCATAGGTAATTTTGTTTTCCTTTGCTTTCACGGAAACCACAAATGGATAAACAAAGTGCAACATCTTCCATTCAGACGACGGCTTCCTCACACAAATATTCAAGATTTCAGCACAGATGATTAAACTTCTGTTTTTGAGAAGGAAAAAATGGTCAGAAGTTAAAACCCAAAACTTCAATCCAATCATAGTTATTACTCATCATCACTTGTTCTAACCCGCGGAAAGACAGTTAAAAAACTCAAAACTTCAATTCAATCTATTCATAGTTTTCTGTATTCGGACAGATGACAAACCAAAAGAATAAAGGGTCACAAATAATTGTTGCAGCTAAAAAAATCCAGAAGTTTGTTTATTGTTTCAGCGCAGAAAAAAGTGACCTAAAAAAAGGGGTCATATGTAGTTGCGTTTTACGCATTTTCACGAACAAACCAAACATAGGAATTAAACAAAAGCAGAACAACTTACATTCCTGAAACGAGCCATGCTCTCTGCAAATATGCTTCCAAGTCTGCTTGGATTACAAATTTATCAGTTTTGGGGATTTTTATAAGAGCCCAATGCTTCAGAGGTTTAGGGCAGTGGAGGAGGAAAGAGAGTTACTACTTAAACCCTAGCTAAAAACCTCTACTCTTTGTGGGGGATAATACTGTAAACTGTTATGAGCATATATATATATATATATATATATATATATATATAAACCTTATGTAAAACTATATATTACTACTGGTAAATTCAAAAAATGGTGGTAGGGAGAAAAATGTAATTACATTGATAACGATCAAAGAAGAGAGAAATTGAAGAAAAGGGCCCATGACGAAAAGCAAGAAACGGCTAATGAATTGGGCTTAAGTATGCAAATAGCGTAAAAATTGCGCCGGACGTCTCATTTGGTCGCCCCCATTTAACCTATAATCATTTTTTTTTTAAATTTTTAACTTGTACCCCACTTTTTTAAACAACTTCAGCCCCTTTCTCCTCCTCCTTCTCCCAGTAATCTCCATATCTCTCTAGAAATTAACATTGATTTAACAATATCTCTCCTTCTGTGGCTTCACGTGGTTATGTGTTTGTTGAATTTGAATCAAATAAATTTGTTCTCTTTAATAGTGCCTAATACTTATTTCGTGACTTCGTGAAACGTTTTAGGATGCTACTTGCTAGCAGATTTTTTTTCTACATAATGCACATAGTTGCAGCAGAAGATGGTGTAGCGCTCGTCTACTGTTCTAGTGCACGATTTAGGGAAAATGAAAAGTAAAGTAATCAAGTTTTAAAAACTCAAGGGTTTTAAAAACTTCAGCTCTAGAGCTGAAGTTCGACAGTTACAAAACAAAAACTTCAGCTCTAGAGCAAGGAAATTTCTCTCTTTACATAATCCACAAGACGAGTCGTAAACTTCAATTTTCCTTTGTATTACGATGTATATTTTTGCTGTATTGAATTTGTATTAACGCTCATATATTCCACAGGGGGCACCGTCCAGATATGAATTTTACAAGTTATGACCCCACGCCTAGCTGGAATATGCATTGTTTTGGTGTGTTGGATCATGGTGGTCCACCCGGGAGTCATCACCAATAGGATACTGTCCATCATGGAATGTCAACACATTACGACTTGTAAGTGAAGTGATATAGTTATATGTAAAGTATTTATCAATTTGAGTAGCTTGTCATTTTGTTGTTTGTGCAGTGCAAACGAGCAACTTGATGGCCCTGACCTCACTCAATTGCCTGTAGACGGCGTATTTACTAGTGATTTGGTAGATGCACAGAGTCAGGAAGATAATAGTAATTATGACAACAATGCCGATGAGTCTGGAGATGACACACCCTTCCTTGACGAGGGTGATGAGGAGGAGGAAGTGAATGTCGAACCTGAGCTGACGAGGGAGCATGCTCCTCCACCTCCCGTTAGACCTAGAGTGTACGAGTCCCACGTGTCGTTTCATTCAAGGCATATTCCCTAACTTGATTATTTGCCAAGTATGCCGGATGTGGATGCCCTCACAAGGGATCTTGACGAAATTCGGTCAGCAATGTGGATGAGTCTAGACCAACAGTGCTGGCAAAGGGCATGTATTTTCCCGATAAAGCTCGCCTATCCAGGGCTTGTAAAATGTACAGCGTAAGAGAGTGTCGGGAGATGATAGTATGGGAGTCAACTCCGGAGGTATACAAGGTCAAATGCCATAGATGGTTTACAGGTTGTCACTGGATGCTGTGTGCGAGCAAGAAGGAAACAGGGTTGTGGAAAGTGGGTAAATATATTAGCACCCACATATGTGAAATGGACACATTCAGTGAGAATCACTTCAACTTGGATGTTGACTTGATTTCTCTTGTCTTGATTCCACACTTGAAAGTGTCCATTAGGTACAAGATCAAAAAGTGTATTACATCCGTCCGCCGGAATATGGGTGTACTATTACCAAAAGAAAGGCATATCTCGGGCGCAAACGTGCATTTGAAATTATTTATGGTGACTGGGATAAGTCATTTTCATCTCTACCCAGGTACATGGCCGCACTGAAACACTTTAACCCCGGGACTGTTTTGAATGGAAGCATGAGCGGAGTCCAGAAATACCAAAATATATATTCAGATAGGTGTTTTGGGCATTTAAACCAACAATTGATTGTTTTGTGCATTGTCGTCCGGTAATTCCATAGACGGTACTCATGTCTATGGAAATTATGATATTAAGATGTTGATCGCCGTTGCAGTAGATGCCAATGGACAAATATTTTCACTAGCTTCAGCCATTTGTGCCAAGAAAGCAAAGAGGCATGGATGCTATTTTTGAACCACTTGAAGCAGCACGTTGTCAAACAACGTTCAGGTATTTGTCTAATATCTGATCGGCATGGTGGTATATTAAGTTCTGTAGAGCATTTGCCTGAATGGCAGGAACCCTATGCATACCACCGTTACTGTGTGAGTCACCTGAAGGCCAATTTCCAGAAGAAATATCCCAACAAGGACTTGCATGATTTAATGTGGATGGCTGCAACTGATCACCAGTAGTGCAAATTCGGGAGGCACATGGAATCGATCCGGCAGTTGGATGAAAGAGCCTATAATTAATCGATGCGACATGAGCTTCACAAGTGGACATTGCATGTTGATGGTGGCAGACGACAGGGAGCCCTGACTACAAATGTGTCGGAGTCTTTCAACGAGTTATTGAAGTCTGCACGTGGATTGCCTGTCACTGCCATGGTCCGGATGATATTCAAACAGATGGCGGAGAGGTTTTTTGAAAGGCATAGAGGTGCATCTGAATTGATGGACAGGGGTGTTGAACTTATGCCAATACCGAAGAGAAGATTTTAGAAATATAGGAGGCCAGCACATTGGCATCCATATTTATAGTATGATCACGACCAGGGTGTTTTTTAAGTTCGCACCGCTATCCGTCAACACCGGGGGAATAATCTACACACCGTAAATGAAGCAGGAGGTTGTGTTCGTGTGGGAAATGGACCATCTACCACATGTCGTGCTCATATGCCATGAAGTGCTTTCAACAAACAGGTTTAGGGGCAACCAACTATGTTGATAGGCAATACAATGTTGCTGCATATGTAAACACATATAGTGGGCAATTGCAGCCATTGGGTGTTGAGCATTATTGGTCGCCGGAACCATTTAAAATGCTGTGTAACAAAGACTATTTGCAAGCTACAAGTGCAAAAGAGAACGCGTATACAAAACCAAATGGATGTTGGTGATACTGTTTATGTGCGTAAATGTGACATATACTCGCAAACAAGACACGACCGTCGTAAATGTCCTTCAGCTGGTTTGGGTGGCTGTGGTAATCCAGCTCCTGGTGCAAGTTCGTCTAATGTACCCAACTATAAAGGATACACCTAGTGTTTTGTTTTCGTAATATTTTTTGTAATAAGTGTCTGTACTTGTTTATGTTGCAAGATGTATCAAATAAAAGTATGTTTCCACAGCCTTGTTACATCTTATTGATATTTAACTTTTTCAGTTGAGTAAATTAATGAATTTCTCCCTCCCGTTCATGTAATCAAAAATAGTATTGGATTAAAAAACAAAAAATTTTAACGTTGACTTTCAAGTTTCACTCTAAAATTATTAGAAAACTAGACTATCAGTAAGTGAATATATATAGTGCGGTTAAATACTACATTTTGTGTGTTGTCTTGTCAATCTGAAAAGCTGCCCGACTGCGAAAAAGTTGTTTTATTTCTGATAAATTATTCAACACGCTATATATAGCGCGGTTAAATACTACGTTTTGTGTCAATATGTATAGAGCGGTTAAATACTACATTTTGTGTGTTGTCTTGTCGAACTGAAAAGCTGCCCGCCTGAGAAATAGATGTTTTGTATCCGACAGAATCTTTAACACACAAAGCATAATGCGGTTATATACTACGTTATGTAAATATATATAGCGCAGTTAAATACTACGTTATGTGTGTTGTCTTGTCGAACTGAAAAGTTGCCCGCCCGAGAAAAAGTTGTTTTGTATCCGACAGAATCTTTAACACACAAAGCATAACGCGGTTAAATACTATGTTATATATATATATATATATATAGCGCGGTTAAATACTACGTTATGTGTGTTGTCTTGCATATACATAATGGGCGCATTCTAGTTATTTTCTGTGCTTAACAATAACCAGTAGCAAAACTTTCCATAAAAGCAAGGTTCTTTTTTTACGCTTTAACAAATGTCTGAACGACTTTATGTACCAAGGTGCGAGTGCGGCAAAAAATGCATGATGAAAGACTGTTGGGATGATGGTGAAGTTGGACGCCGCTACTGGATGTGTGTGAACAAGTTTTATAGGGTTCCCGACGAATCTTTTTGCAATTTTGAGGTATGGACTGATGAACCCTGTAATCAGGAATGCTACAAACGATCTTTGCAGTATCTTCATAATTTGACCTTAAAACAGTGGGAATATGAAAAAGAATATAAACGAGAAATTACGGAGTTGAAGGAGAAACTGAAAGAGGTGGAAGAAGAAAAAAATAAGCTGGAAGAGAAATTTAAGTGGTTGGAGCAGAGAATACTAGGCGGTGGTGACTAACGTATGACATGTATGTGTTGAGCGTAGTACTTTATCTTTATGTTTCTCGTGTCATGTGTTTTCATTAGTTGTACTGTATTTAAATTATGTTAAATTTCTATATTTGTGTTTGTGTTGTAGTGTTAAAATAAAGAAAAAATGGGGAAATAAAAACATAATGCGCATATTATGTAAATATAAAAAATTATTGTTATTATATACATAAAAAATATTTACATAGCGTACATAAAATACAAAAAAAAAAATCAACGTGTCCCACAGCCTGTGTGCTTCAATGCAGGCGCTGGCCTTAGGCGGATCCCATCCCGCCGGATATGCTATCAGGATCATCCTCATCACGTCGCCTCCTTATCTGAGGATGCGCTGCAGCATGATCGTCAGTAGTGCTGGCAGGATTGGTAGAAGGGGTCGTCGGTCCATTAGAAACCTACAAAAGAATAAGTCAGCTCAGTATATGAAAATATATATTAAGTCACAACAATTTAAATTGTCTTACCATGGTCTCGTCGGACTCCTGAATATAATCATCCGTCGCAGCCATGT